GCCCTGCCTCCTGCACCCACGAGCCTGTAGCACAGCTGCCAGAACTCGGCCGAATGAGCACATTCCACATCCCCCAGCGTGAGACACAGGGCCGTGCCCAGGTGGGAGAGGCCTGGAACTCTGTGAGTTTGGGGGTGTGGGGTGCATTACTTGGCGCCCATCTGTGGGGCTGAAGTGTGAATGCCTGGCCACAGGGAGCACAGCGAGGCTGGCACAGGAGGGAGCCTGCCCCTGCGGAGAGCCCGCTGTGAGCTGGGAGACCTCCGCCCCAGCCCTGGCCTCTGGCAGCTGTCCCGAGGTAAGACAGGAACACTGTAGACAACTTGGGGGCCTCAGAGGCTGGGAAGTGGGGCGCACAGCTGTTCTGGGGGCAATGAGGGTTTTTTTGTTGTTAAACTAGGTGAGACGGAGAAATGTCCTGGCTCCAACACTAAGTCGCCCACAGTGACATCCATCAGACAGGCGCCGCGGGCCTCCTGCCTGGCCTCGGGTCTCCATTTGTTGAGGAGGGTGCACTGTGGAACCCTCCCCCCTGAAAGTCTGGGAAACTGTGCCAGTCCCCAGACGTCGTCAAATGGGCGACAGTGCTCACTGCTGCACAACTGGAGGCACCACCACGGAAAGAGAAGCTCTCGGGCAGACGGTAAAAGCCGGGGTGGCATCCAAACAGCACTTCGGGTTCATAGATTTCGAAACATTTTCAAAAAGAAAATGAAATAAAGAATGTCACAGTTTCTTACTATATTCTTAGCCAATGAAATACCCAATCGCAGGTTATTAATTGCAGAAAACCCTACTGTCCATTTACTTTCAGAGGATGGTCTGGACTGGATTGTTCATGGCGACTGAGCCAGTGTGTGAAAATACAGCCTGGCAGAGCCAAAGGGGCACCCCCAGCTCAGCTCAGCTCAGCAGGCCAAGGGGGGCGGGGAGCACCAGAGCCCAGGTGTGAGGGGAGTGGGCAGGCGAGGCCCGAGGATGATGCGTGAGTTCCCTTACCAACACCCCAGCCAGCAGAAAGAGGCTCTGATCCAACCCAACCCAAAGGAGCAGGCGGGTGGGACTGACTCCTGCTGAAACGGAAAGCACTCAGGGCCTGGGGTTAGTCCCTCTCCTGCTTTAACGTGACCTGACGGGAGCAGGTCCCTGCTGCCAACAAAGGAAAAGCCTCCCTAGGGAGGCTGCTCAGTCTGTGGCTGGGGGAGGGGAGGAGGAGGAGGGTGGGAGACCAGAAAGAGCATTTTAAATCACAGCAAATGAGTCCAACCTGAGCGCACCACGCACCGAGGAGCAGACAGGAAACCACTGCTGGAGTGAACGGGTCACTCTCAGAACCTCCCAGAACCTCCTGTAGGTATGGCTTCCTCTCCAGACAGCTGCCCCCGCCCCCTCCCCCCTAGGGGCGCAGAGGTCAGGGGAGGAATGCAAGTTGGGTGGGGGCTGCTGCTACCTTGGGCGGAGCTTCATCGGACCCTCCGGAGTCCCAGGACACGGTGACCTGTCGCCTGGACTCCATCCTCACGCGCTCCTCGTGCTGAGCCTTCTCCTCCTCCAGGATTGTGCTGCAGAGACAACACAGGGGTTAAGGGAGCCGCGGGCAGCCAGCACACACCAGCCCCACCCGACTGTCTCACAGCACACGGGCTCACAGTAGATGGCAATCAAGAGTGGGAAAGAGGATCAGGTTTCTGACTCTTCACAAAATGACTCAAAAATAGCTGAGTCCAAACTGCAAGCCCAGTTGCAGCCCAGCCATAGGTCAGAGGACAGCTGGGAAGACATGGAGAAGTGTGGGAGATCAAAGACACGCCCAGGCGGGATGGATGTGTGTGCCTACATGTGTGTGGAGCAGAGCAGAATCGCCCCGAGCACCCCGGCACCTCACCCACACAGACATGCCCCAGGACAGACTCCTTGTGGGAATCCGGTCACGCGGGAGCCAGCATGTTATGGGGCAGCTCAGCCATCTGGCCATCACTCCGTATACTGCTGTTTCCTACTCGCTTTCAGCTATCCAGTATGCACCCCTCAGGAAAATACGGAAACAGTGACAGTATTTGCAGTACTTCTGGAATACCAGCTGCTTTAAGCTGAGGGTTGTGGATAGTAGTGATGTAGGCAGTTAGACGGACATGAGCAGAGCAAAGAGGATGGGCGAGTATAGGTCACCAGGATGGAAAGCCCAGGTGGCCTAGCAAGGGACAGTCAATTGCTGGGTGGGACCTCAGCCCCAGGGCGACCTCCCTCCCCTAGCAAATCGCTGGTCATGAGGGTTGGACCCCTGACCTTCCCTCCCACGAGGTAACATCTCCGTGTGTTTGGAGCAGTTGTTTCAGCCCCAGGCCCAGACAAGCAGCAAACCCAGCCGCGCTGACGTCAGGGCCAGCTGCACTGGACAGTGACCCTGCCCTGGTGCCGGCCAGTCACTCAGCGGAGAGCACAGCCGGAGAGGACACACCTGGACGCTGCTGCCTCTGCTACTGGACCTTCCCGGGAGCTGCCCACAGTCTCCGCCCTGAGAGCCCTGAGGATGGAGGGCCCAGGGCCTCTCCCTCCTGGGAGCACAGCCTGCCTCCCCTTCCCTCCACCCAGGCAGGTCCCCTGAGCTTCCTCGCGCCCCCGCTCCAAGGCCCTTCCTTTGCCTCCACAGCTTGTTTGCTGACCATTTCTTTTGGGAATGACTTCTCCCTGCAATTCACCCAGTAAATGCTCTCTGTGGTTTGGGTCTTGTCTGAATTCCTTCCCAGCCAGAACTCAAGGTCCGCAAGGTTGCTGAACCCACAGGTCAGACACCTGGTGCCAGGCCCCCGCCTACAACAGCAGCACCTACTTACCACCGCTCGACTACTCAGGGCCTCGCTGCATCCCACACTCCTCTGTGCCGGCTGGGCGGCGTCCTGGCCCTGCTCTCTGCCATCCAGAAGCTACCCAGAAGGCCGCCAAGCCAGCCTCTGCCCCCTGCCCATTGCACTCGGGTCCCCGGGCTCAGTGGGCGGCAGGTCTGGGACTCTTTCGTCCCCACCGTGGCAATCGGCTCTCCTCCAGGCCTGCAAGGCTGAGCTCTAGGAATGCAGCCGCCTGGTGGATGCAGGGAGTCCGCGCCCAGAATTACTCATGGAGTGAGGTCACTGCAACGCTCCGTTCTCATGTGGGAATGTGCTCGCCGCTTCAGACAGACAGTCCTGCCTGACAAGCAGCTGCTGCTCACCCAGCCCAGCTCCCAGCGCGCCCGGGTCAGCAAACTATCCCCGCGACGGAGGGTTTTAAAAAAGGGGACTGCTTCCTGTTTCAGGGGAAAGATCCACCCTCCTCAAACAGGGTCTGGTTTCTTCTTGCTCCAGCTCGGTCATCATGACCGAGGAGACACGCAGCTTCAATACTTAAGAACGCAGCGTCGCCCTCGAGGCTGGGAGGCGCACGCCGTCAGGCAGCTGGGCCCCGGCGACGTCACCCTGGGGAGATGCTCTGTAAACGGGACTGTCTGCTTGACTTTCGCTCCCACTAGGCCGATCCCGCCCTCATATGCCCGGATCACACAGATCCCGGCACCCAGCTTCCTGTGCACTTGGTGGCCAGAGGGTCATAGAGCAGGGGTCCAGCCTGAGACACGGGCCCCAAAGGAGCCACCTTCTCTCAATCACCTGACCCTCAAAATAAGTAATGGACCCCTGGAATCAGGATTTCCAAAAACTACAGTTTAAGACAACCGAAAAGTCCACAAAAATCAAGAAAAAAAATCAAGTTAAAAAAAAATCCTTTTTTCAAATAAGGAAAACCCAAGCAAACTATGGTAAGACCACATGTGACATGCTCTTTAAGGAAGGGGGCCTCCATTTTAAATAGGCCCCATGGGGAAAATTTATGGCACGCGGGTTGTTTGGTGAAATGGAGTCACTGTGCCCACAAAAACCACGGAGCTTACGAGAGGTCCCGGCCACAGACCCTCCCCAGCTCCGTCCACTGGAGTCTCCACCACCTCGATTCCCCGGCTCTCCGGCTCCTGAACATACGGTCTGAACCCGCTGTCAGCCCTTCCTCACCCCCGCCCCCGCCCTGCTCGGCCCTGTGGGTCTAGTGGTGGGCTCCCCGCGGCCGTCACTCTCATGGACTGCGTGGCAGCTGCATGACAGTCACTTCCATGTCCCCTCCACTGAACAGGCCAGCCTTGCCCCCAAGAACGCAGTGACAGCTGGGAGCCAGTTCCCCCAACCTCAGCCCTCCATTCTCACACCACAACACCACGAGACGCTCCTGAGGAACCATACTTTGTTGCTCGCAGTGGTCGGGAATATAAATAACCTATAGGACGCCTGTTTTCACAGTGGAAGACGATTCCACCGGTGGACTGGGGGGCATGGGGAGACAATTCTGAACTCTGCACAGCTGCTGCCGAAGAACCAGAGCAAAAGCTAGAATGTGCATGTCAGGAGGTCAGATTTAAGCATATTTTCCCAAATGACAGTATTTTTAGTAGCAAGACATTCCACTGGGAGCTCGGAGCTGCCGACTGGGAACTGGCATGGAGCCCTCACTCCTTTCCTGGGATGTGGCTCTCAGTCTCAAACTTGCAAGCAGATGAAACAATAAAAGCCAAGACTCACTCAACCATCAGAACACCCGGCAACTGTGTCTGCTTATCCACAGGTCCCCGCGCGTGAGGAGAGGAGAGAGTCACTGTGCCCACAAAAACCACGGAGCTTACGAGAGGTCCCGGCCACAGACCCTCCCCAGTTCCGTCCACTGGAGTCTCCACCACCTCGCTTCCCCGGCTCTCCGGCTCCTGAACATACGGTCTGAACCCGCTGTCAGCCCTTCCTCACCCCCGCCCCCGCCCTGCGCGGCCCTGTGGGTCTAGTGGTGGGCTCCCCGTGGCCGTCACTCTCATGGACTGCGTGGCAGCTGCATGACAGTCACTTCCATGAGTGACGAGAGGAGAGGAGAGGAGAGGAGAGGAGAGGAGAGGAGAGGAGAGGAGAGGAGAGGAGAGGGCTTATTCCGCGTCAGTTTTATTCTCACTTCCCTGGCTCGGACAGAAGTCATCGAAGACCCCAGGGCAGGGACAGGGCCGCCCTGGCTGAGGCGCGCTGAGCAGTCTCGTCTGCAGCACTCCCTCCCGGGGAGGCCTGGTCTCGGGGCCTCGGCGAGCTGGCACAGGGAGGGCTTATTAAATTTCCGTTCTGGAGCAACAAAACATGACTTCACTTCGAAGGCATTTTCATGGAGAGCGAGAAAGTGGTCTAATAGGTTCCTCGTTTCCAAGACTGACACGGACACAGATCCCCAGCTCTGACGGTTCACAGCGGCTGGCAGCGGTCAGGCTGGCCAGGACACAGGGCCCAGTGAGGCGCTGCCCACACCCAGCCTGGCCGTTTCTACCTGTCTCCTCAATGATAAAGGAGAACTCGGTCTGCCCTCTCCACCGCTCGGACGGACGGAGAGACAAAGCGTGGGAGGAAAACAGTCACGCTCCTAAGTGAGCGTGAGTTACTTGTTCTCTCTCTCGCCTGCCTTACAGGCTACTAGGGGACAACGGGCTTTTATCGATTTCACTTCTGTAGCCTTTTTCCCGAGAATACTACTCTTCTTTGAAACAAAAAACCCTACAACATTTCTTCTTTTAAAAAGTTATTTGCTTGAATAACTTTTTTTGTAGAAGACTGGACTTTGGTCACCTCAACATCATTTTTATGGTGACATCACATTTGCTGTGGACACAGGAATCAGGCTGGATCCACAGCTACTCAGGCTAATCTGAAAAATGTCCAGAGAAACAGCAGCAAGAAATGGGAAGAAAAAGCCAAGAGGGAATGGCTTGCTTTGGCAAGTTCATGGGAATATCAGTTTGAAACACGATCTCTTCTAATTACCAGCACTGCCTCACCACAGAGGAATGGAGCTGACCTTCTAACACAGCAGCAGCAGCAGCAGCAGCAGCAGCAGCCGGGTCTGTGCAGAGTGCAAGGCTGGAGGCAGCCTGAGCCGGGACGGCTGTTTGTAATGGGCTGACCTGGGGGTGAATGCCCCGGCCAGGGTGGCAGCCTCGGCCTCTGCCTCTGCGCCTCCTTCCTTACAAACAGGCCGGGCAGACTGGGCATCTCGTTTCACGGAATCACTAAAACCACTGTCTCTCTGCGTATTAGGCATCGAAGACGGTAGGAAATAATGTACTTTTGTTTCATTGTGTTACCCATCTCAGAATTATTAAAGAAGTCATTTCTGCTAAAATCTTCCTTGAAGATGGTGACCTCTTTGTATCTGCCAAGTTCGAGTAGCGCCTATGTGACCACCCTCTTGCAGGCAGGGACTATGGACATAGGAAGTGGCTGTGGGAGCAGGAGAGCCACCCAGGCGGCCAGTCTGGGAAGCTGACGCAGAGGCAGGCAATGGCACAGGGCGGGGCCCACATTTCGAAGGCCTTTAGCCAGAAGCAGGCCCAATCTTGCTGGTTTGAAGAACCAGAGCTTGAGTCACCACAGGAGGTGGAAAGTGAGGGGGGAAATCCCAGTAAGAAGAGAGCCAGGCAGAGGGTTCCTCAAATTCTGAGTATAAATTCTGCCCCAAATCTCTAGCTGACCTCAGAGTCTCCCACATATAAGGCAGGTTCCCAGAAGCCCAGCGAAAGCTAAGAGAACGGAATAAAATGTGATGCTGCCCACACCATGGAGAGAGAGTCTGCCATCTGAGACCAGCTGAGTTAACTACCTGCTAAAACCAGCTACCAGCCAACCAACCAGCCAACTAACCAAGGTCTTTCGGAAAGAGTGCAGAGCACCGTTTGGACTTAAATATAAAGTATTTTTCCTTAAAAAGACTATTTAAGACACAAAATATACAATCTTACTTTGTGAGGTTACTAACACACATGAATGCAACATACAGGGCCGCTGGAGTGGGAAGGGCTGAGGCGGGGCAGGCTGTCCACATCGTGCCGTGCGATGACTAACCTCAGTAGACTGAGAGTGACACATGCTATGGTCAGCCCTGGGTCACCCTAAGAAGACAATGCAAACGTGGGGTTGCGAGAAAGGTGGAAACTCAGCTGCTGGTTTCCCTCCTCTTAGCCCAGGCTCCTGCTCCTCCCCTCCAGGTGCAGGTGCATGTGGTTTGTAAGTGATGCGGAGCCAATGTTTCTCCTGCCTCCCACCCCCAAGCACACTTCCCTGTCCCTCTGCACACGGAAGGGGGCAGGGACCACCTAGATCAGTGGTCGGCAAACTGCGGCTCGCGAGCCACATGCGGCTCTTTGGCCCCTTGAGTGTGGCTCTTCCACAAAATATCACGTGCGGGTGCGCACGTACAGTGCGATTGAAACTTCGTGGCCCATGCGCAGAAGTCGGCATTTTGTGGAAGAGCCACACTCAAGGGGCCAAAGAGCCGCATGTGGCTCGAGAGCCGCAGTTTGCCAACCACTGACCTAGACCACCGATCCTCCACTGTCGAGAGAGGAAGGGAGACATTCACGTCTGCTCACTCTTCCCTGATGTCTCCAAGGATCACAACCTGGAGACAAAATGGAGTGAAGAGAGAATGAAAGTGGTAACAGACAGAAAGGAAGGGAAGGAATGACAGTAGCTACTGGGATAGTCTGAGGATTTCACTGTGGGTTCTGAGGGCGCGTGCAGATTGTAACAGTAAAAATACAGGCCACAGCTGAAATGTAAACTTCACCTGGTCTTTACCAGGGAGACACGGGAGGGGGAGTGAACAGAGCACGCAGACCCAGAAGGGAGGGCACCCTGGGGTCTCGGGGCAGGAGAAAGGGGCCGGATCTTGGGTCCACGCTTTGCTAGCTGCACAAGCCAGGGCAAGTCACAGGGCTTTTCTAAGCCTCGGGTCTGCTAAGTGAAACGGGCAACAGTAACTCAGACATGCGATGCCTGTGAGACGGACCCGTGAAGCCACACAGGGACAAAGGACCATGTTTTATGAAACGCATATTTAACCCACTAGACGCCATAAGCATCTGTAGACGCAAGCGGCGGACCTTCCCCACACGCCACACGCTTCTATTAAAAAAAAAAATGTTTTCCCTGAGTGGCAGACCTGACCAATTTTAAAATCATTTTTTGTGAGAATTTTCAGCTGAAAATATTCAAGAACATTATTTTTATAATATTGCAAATTGATTTTTTAAATTAAATTAAAAATATGGTGGCGCGTGGGGATGGTTTCCGTTTGGGATGCGTGGCAGTGAACTGGTTAGTCTCACTAGGAATTTGCTGACTTCACACAGCACCAAGTCGTGGCGGTGTACCGATAAGACACACTCACACAGCGTGGAGCACCCGTGTGGCTGAAACCAGCACGGGTAAGAATCATCCTTAGAGAGAAAATAAACAAATGGGACCACATCAAAATGAAAAGCTTCTGCACAGCGAAAGAAACATCAACAAAGCAAGAAAGCCCACTGCATGGGAGAACACACTTGCCAACGTTATCTCCGATAAGGATTTAATCTCCAAAATTGATAGGGAACTCATACAACTTAACAAAAAGAAGATAAACAATCCAATAAAAAATGGGCAAAGGACCCAAATAGACACTTTTCGAAAGAAGACCAAGAGACATATGAAAACATGCTCAAAGTCACTAATCATCCGAGAGATGCAAATCAAAACAACAATGAGGTACCATCTCACACCTGTCAGAATGGCTATCATCAACAAACAACAAGTCCTGGAGAGGATGCAGAGAAAAAGGAACCCTTGTGCACTGCTGGTGGGAATGCAGACTGGTGCAGCCACTGTGGAGAACAGTATGGAGTTTCCTCAAAAAGTTAAAAATGGAACTTCCATTTGACCCAGTAAACCCACTTCTAGGAATATATCCCAAGAAAACAGAAATACCAATCAGAAAGGACATATGCACCCCTATGTTCATAGCAGCATAATTTACAATAGCTAAGATTTGGAAACAGCCTAAGTGCCCATCAGCAGATGAGTGGATTAGAAAACTGTGGTACATCTACACAATGGAATACTACGCTGCTATAAAAAAGAAGGAATTCTTACCATTTGCAACAGCATGGATGGAGCTGGAGAGCATTATGCTAAGCGAAATAAGCCAGTCAGAGAAAGATAAATATCACATGATCTCACTCATTTGTGGAATATAATGAACATAAACTGATGAACAAAAATAGAACCAGAGCCGAACCGGTTTGGCTCAGTGGATAGAGCGTCGGCCTGTGGACTCAAGGGTCCCGGGTTCGATTCCGGTCAAGGGCATGTACCTTGGTTGCGGGCACATCCCCAGTGGGGGGCGTGCAGGAGGCAGCTGATCAATCTCTCTCATTGATGTTTCTAACTCTCTATCCCTCTCCCTTCTTCTCTGTAAAAAATCAATAAAATATATTTTAAAAAAAATAGAACCAGAGTCATAGAAGCATCAAACAGACTGTCCAACTATGAGGGAAGGTAGGGGGTGAGGGGGTAAGAGATATACCAAAGGTCTTGTACGCATGCATATGAGCATAACCAATGGACACAGATGGGGGTGGGAGGGGGGTGAGGGCATGCGCTGGCAGGTGGGGGTGGCCAGGGAGTGGTCAATGGGGGAAAAAGGAGACTTATGTAATACTTTAAACAATAAAGAATTTAAATTAAAAAAAAAAGAATCATCCTTAGATGAGAAACAACTAGGACATAATTTTTAGTGGAAACAATTTAAATTTTACATGAAATTCCTATTGAATTTAGATTTACTATTTACTTTTATGACTGGAAGGTGAAGGAGCAAGAACAAAAACAGACCCTCCAGCTCAGGTGGGGCGCGTTCAGATGGTACCGGGGAACTGAGGCCACTGTGGACTACCGAGCCCCCGCAGGACAGCAGCGAGAAGGAAACACGGTTATGATGACTAAGGACGCGTTTAACTCCACCTCTGAAAGGAATTTTGGAAGCCAACACAAAACCACTTTAAAAAAACACACAGCAAGGAAGCACAAGTAACCTTGAGTCATTAACCAAACCTAGAGCTTTTAATTCAGAGTCCACCTTTTAGGATAAACGAAGAATCAAAAAAGAGAAGAGAACTTGTATAAGATGCTGTTCACATATTAAAATTTTTAAATCCATGTCTCCATAAGACATCTATAAAATGTCAAAAGGATATGCTTTGCATTTTGGTATCTGGGTAGTAACAGCGAACACTTTCAAATTCAAACAACCCAATTCCAAAACGGCTACTGTCCGCTTTTCTGTCCTCCAACGTCCCAGGTCCCTTCTGGGTCTTCAGAAAGAGCCCTGGCGTCACTACTGCCACCAGAGCAGCGGTGCACCCTCGGAGCTGCGCAGGTGATTTCACTTGACCCTGAACACCAGGTGTAGTGGGATTCGTGATGCTGCTCTTACAGGGAGCTAAGTCACTTGCCCACGGTCACACAGCCTTTTCCACTCTCGCCTTCACAACACAAGGTCCAGCACTCTCCACACCTCCCTCAGGAAGTGTTCTCTGAGCTTGTGCTTATGTAGGAGGCATGCACAGGCGTGCGCACACACACACGCACACACACACGTACACACCACTGACCCGAAAGGTGCAGCTGGCCTGAACGGGCAGCCTCACAGACGAGCTGAAATAGCTGTGCCCTGAGATGCTGCGTACCTTCCCTTGGGTACGATACTGAGATGTAATAAGAAAAACACTACACGAGCCTGTGGCTGCAGCCACTGCAGGTTGCAGCCCTGACTGAGGCCAGCTTTGCTCGATAAAGCGAAGAAGGGACATGACAATGTTAAGTTACAACAATAACCCCCCCCCACCCCCCAAGCTGCAGACAGCCTGGTATCATGCAGATAGGAGGCATCCACAGCCGGTAACTACAGACGGCCACACGCTGGCATGGCTGCCGCCGCCTCGCCTCAAGTCACCACAGACAGACTGGGCCTCCCCAACACTTCCGAACCGCTCCCACACTTCTGGGATTCCAGAGGCCACGGGCTGTGACAGCGAAACAAATATCAGGAAGAGAACAAATGTTCTGAAACCAGCACACAGAGACACGTCACCCTTTGAGGTCCTTGGGTGGGGCCTCCGTGCCTACGCCAGGAATGCTGCCATGCTTTTTGGGGTCTTTGTTTGGTTGACACTCAAACAAACGTAAAACCCCTGTGGGAATCCCTGTAAAGTATGCTTCCCTCCTTTTCCTTTTTAAAAATTATTTTATTTTTTAAAATATATTTTTATTGATTTCAAAGAGAAAAGGAGGAGATAGAAACATCAACAATCAGAGAGAATCCTTGATCGGCTGCCTCCTGCACGCCCGCCACTGGGGATGGAGCCCACAACCCGGGCCTGTGCCCCGACGAGAATCGAACCGTGACCTCCTGGTTCATAGGGTGATGCTCAGCCCCTGAGCCCGCCGGCCGGGCTCTTCTTTTTCCTTGTTAACTGAACAACATCACCAAGGTGCTCACCAGTCATATCATGAGGTGGAGCACTTAACCTCTAGGCATGTCTCAACCAAGGCGCAGAGCAGAGCTGCCACCTCGGGCCCTGGGCTCAGGCGGGCCTGCCTGGAACTCAGCCCCGGCTGCGGTCAGCTGCCTGACCCCCTCAGCACACTGAGAACGATGCCGCCGCCTCATCTCCAGGGCTGTGAGGACGAAGAGGAAACCACGTGTCAAGGTCACACACAAAGCCGGGCCCACAGAGCGCTCAGTAAACACCGGTTTTGAAGTTCACGACTAGTCCATTAACGGGAGCGATGGAGACTTGTATCAGTGGACACGGTGCTGGTTCAAAAGGTCTTCCCAGGCTCAGTGACAGGAGACCCACTCAGAATCACGGGCCCCTGAGGCTGATACT